TTGGAATTGCAGGTGAGTGCCCTGCAGGACCAGGGTACTTGGGAACTGGGTGGGGGAGGATTAAGCTTGGTAACCAGCTGCTCGTAACTCACCACACAGGTGCCGGCTCTGGGGTGCCCTTCCACTGGCACGGGCCCGGGTTCTCAGAGGTGATCTATGGCCGAAAGGTCAGCACAGGGTGGGGCTGAGACTTTGGGTTCACTGACTACAGCACAAAGAGTGACTTTGCTGCTCCCACCCTCAGCGCTGGTTCCTGTATCCTCCTGCAAAGACACCTGAATTCCACCCCAACAAGACCACACTGGCTTGGCTCCGGGACACATACCCGGCCCTGGCATTATCTGCACGGCCCCTGGAATGCACCATCCACGCTGGTGAGGTCAGTGGCTGGCAGACAGGGGCCAGGCTGGGCTGGGTCAAGGGGCCCCAACCAATCCCTGTGTCCCCCCTACTCCCAGGTGCTGTATTTCCCTGACCGATGGTGGCACGCCACACTCAACCTCGACACCAGCGTCTTCATCTCTACCTTTCTCAGCTAGCCAAAGGGGGTGGCTGGGGAGCCCGTCGCACACCAGCACATGCCCCTATAGTGCTCACAGATTTTATTACAGGGACAGAGGTGGCAGCGGCAGCCTCAGCCCAGTCCACTCTCACCTGCTTTTTCTGGCCCAGAGGGGGATGGGGGAGGCTCATGACCCAGCAGAACTGATGGGGGTGGGCTTGGGGACACCAGGACAGGGATCTAGGGACACAAACTATGTACAGCGGCTAGAGACTACTGCCCAAGGCCCTCCTGGGCCAGGGTACCGGGCAAGGCGGGTGAGTGGCTCACACACTCGCCCTGCCTCAGTAGTCCTCCACCCAGCCATTCTCGGAGATGAACGCGTCAATGACCTCTTTCATGGCCAGGTTGGGGATGAGCTGTTCCTGGGTCAGGGGGCTCCGAGTCACAGGGTCGAAATGGCCCACACGCTGCAGTGACAACAGAATCAGAATTAGGAGGTGCTCAGTGGGTGTGGGTCCTGCTCCCAACTCCCATGGGCCCTCACCTGCAGGTGCTCCTCAATGTCCTTGCGGTCATAGGTGATACCACTGGGTGTGATGCAGGGCTCCCGCATCAGCTCAAAGCTGATCTTGCCACACAGGTAGTCGGGTATATCTCGCTTCTGCAGCACAGGGTCAGGTCAGGGGCTGGGAAGGGGCACTGCTCCGACTCCTGCTACCCACAGACCCCAGAAAACAGGCAGCTCACCTTTCTCTTTTCGTCTACCTGGGAGAAGAGCTCATCCATGTCTGCCAAGTACTTGTCCTGCAAAGAACCAAGTAGCTATATATGTGGGCCTGACACCCCATCTCCCTTCCCCAAGCACCGAAACTCACAGACCTAGCAGGAGCCAGGGGCACCTCACGTCCGTCACACGCATGCAAATACACACAGGACCCACACTTGGGCTGGGGCACCCTCACATGCTTGGCCTCAATGCAGGCCTGTTGGGCCCGGAGGTGGCCATCGTCCTCATCACCCTCATGGTTCCGCTGACACTCTTCCAGCTCCCTGGAGGTTGACCAAAAGCTAATCAGAGATGGGTCTGGCCAGGAGGTCAGACTCCACTCCAATCTTAGGCTGATTCAGCCCTCATTCCCCTCCATCTCCTGCGTGCCAGAGTTGACCTTCAATAAATGATCGTGTTCACGACTCAGAGTTAACCTAAAAGTGGTGACTTCTGGGGGGCGCCTGTCATCACCACAGCCCACCTCTCACGCTCGGCCACAATGAGCTGTGTGAGGTAAGAGTGCAGCTCGTTCTCCTGGTGGATGCGCCGCTCCTCGATGCTGTTCCAGCGCTTCTTCTTCGCGATGCGCAGAGCACTGGGGATGTCATCCCCAAAGTTGAGCCGCTGCTCCTTGGCCAGGTTGTAGGCTGGAGGAATAGAAGATTTGGATAAACCTCCAGCCAGTCCACCCGCCTGGTCCCAGGCACCCTGGCACCAGCCAGCCTGTAAGCCCACCTCGCTGCAGGTTGGCAATAGCCTCATCATAGCTCTCCATCTCCAACTGGCATTGCCCCAGGAAGAAGTGTGCCTTCACAGATTGCCCGTCTAGCTCCAGGGCGCGCCGGCAGTCAGCCAGAGCTTGCTCATGCTGCTGCATCTTCAGGTAGCACAATGCCCGGTTGGTGTAATACACCGCCACCAAGGGATTCCGGGTCTGGAGAACAAGGGCAGACCAGCCAGCGTGAGGGAGTGAGCTCAGCCTACCCGCTCTGTCCCGGCTTGAAGCCCATAGCTGGAATCAAGACACTACAGGTTTCTCAGCTTCCAAGCCTCTGGGTTCTGAGGGAGGGTAGAGCCTACCTGAGCCCACCCTCTGGACTCCAGTGAGTCTTGTGAAGGTAGCTTTTCCAGATCTGTGGAAATCACCAGCTTTGGGCTTGGACTCCTCAAAGGGCAAGGGTCCCTGGCCCCCAGCCGAGTGGGCCTCAAGCACTCTGAATCTCCCACCCGCCACAGTTCTCTGGCAACCAGCACTGGCTCGGGAGCCGTAGCCTTGGCCCCTCTGGGACAAGATCATCACTGAGTTCTCACAGCCCAAGCACCACCCGCCTCCGAAAGTCCGGCGGGGGCGGCCAGACAGGGGCTCCGGGGAGGACGCGGAGGTGAAGCCGCAGCCCGGCCCCTCCCCTGGCTCGGACGCCGGCCCCCTCCCGCGGTGCAGGCGCACTCACGATGGCGCGGCCATAGCAGGCCGCCGCCTCCGGGTACTTGCGGCCCACGAAGAGCCGGTTGCCCTGCTCCTTGAGCTCCTGCGCGCTCGGGCTCTTTTCCGGGCTGCCGCCGCCGGCGCTCAGCCGCGCGCCGCCCTCCTTCTCCTCCTTGCCCTTCATGGCGCCGCGCGGCACGGCCTGGGCTCCGCTCCCAGGCTCCGCGCCGGGCCCGCCCTACGCCCTCAGCCCGAGCCCGCGATCCGCTCGGGCCCGGTCCAGCGCTCCGCCACCGGAACTTCCGGCCGCGCAGGTGGGCGGGGCCAGCGGGAAGGAGGGCCTGCGAGCGGGCGGGGCCGCGCGTGCACCAGACGCGAGGCGGAGGAGTGGGAGGGGGCAGGCGCGGGAGCATGCGCTCGCGGCAACGCGACGCGCAGCTTCTGAGGCCTGAGAAGCGCCGAGGTCGTCGGGGCAGGAGCCTGCTCGGGCGCTCCGACGCTCCGCCCCCGAGGCTCCGCCCAGGCGCGTGGGGATGGCGGCTGCCCGCGGGTTTGGGCTGTGAGGACTCGAGCAGCTGGGCCGCCATCCTAGGGTACCACGGGGAAGTGCTGCGGGCGCGCGCGAGCCCCCAGCGGCGGCTGGAAACCCTGGAGCGATGGTAGGACGGTGGGGACATCGGGCGGGCGGGCCGACCCCCATGGCTCGGATTCCCCGTCACCGCCCTTCCCCAGGTATCGAGAGGAGTTGCCCGCAGCCATCGAGGGCCGGGCGGAGAAGCACGTGACACGCGACGAGCTGGAGCAGTTGCTGGCGTGGAAACTGGCGGTGAGGAGCTTCCCACGTGGGGGACGGAGCCTTCTGGGACGGGACGTAGCGCCATGGGCGTGGCTTCATCCTGGGGGCGTGCCCTCGCGCCTGTGGGCGGGGCCCCTAGCGAGATCCACCAGCCGTGACCCCAGACCCGACCTGACCACCGAGGGGCCGCTTTCGGCCGCGCCTGCAGCAGCTCTTGACCACCAACTCCCCGGAGCTGGTGGTGCAGCGCTCGGCCGCCGCCTTCCGTCTCCTGCCAGACGTGAACGCAGCGGTCACGGAATTGTGCGCCCTCCGGGGCGTGGGCCCGGCTATCACCTCGCGTTAGTAGGGAGAGCTGGGCGTCCCCCCGGCGAGGTCGTGGGCGGGACCTGGCGTGTTAGTGGCCTTATCTGTGAAATGGCCAGATGGCCAGATACGTGACACCGAGAGTTGTTGGGAATGGCAGCCCCACGTCGAGGTGGGGCTGAGTGCTGTCCATTTACTTCCCGCGGCAGTCCTGGCTGCCAGAGCTCTCGAGGTAGCAGCCTTCATGTCTGAGGAGGCAGTGGCCGCAGTGCCTGGTCTGCCAGCCCTGCAGTACACCCTGAAGCACTACCTGCTCTATCTGGGCCGGGTGCAGGAGCGTGCCACAGCCCTGAGTCAAGGTGCAATCTGTTGGCGGCCAGGGAGGGCATCCAGGACTCTGGTCAGGGTGATGTGCAGAGTTATCCAGCAGGGTAGGGTGACTGGTGCCCCTGAGCCCCAGACTCCCTCTGCCCCACCCCAGGCAGTCCCTCAGGCTGTGGACTCCTCACCGTGTGGAGACAGCACTGTGGATCTGGGCTGTAGGGCAGAAGCTATGCCCTGACCTGCTGCCTGACCTCGGTCCCAGCCTGGCCACCCCTGAGGACACCAGGCCAGCCAAGAAGCACAGGACCCAGGCCTACTGACTTGGCTGTGGCCAAGGGCTTGCACACCTACCCTGTGATCTCAGGGCACAAGTCTTTGGACAGGGGGCTGGCTGCTGTAGGAGCTCAATAAATGCTTGCTGAACTCCAACCTGACTATGAGGCCCATGACCCTCCCCAGGGGCTCCCATCTCCCATACAGAGACACCTCATGCTGGGTGCAGAAAAGCAAGGGGGAAGCCCAGGCTGCTGCTTGTGTGGAGGGAAGGGCCCTCACAGTTTGATCAGTGAGTTGGGGGGAGACCAGCCCAGCCCGCAGTGCCCAGTACAGCCACCTGGTGCTGTGTAAAATATTTATTCACTCTCCAAAAAGGCTCAGACTGCAAGTCTCATGGGAGAGGCCAGGGCAGGGTCTCCTCTGGGGCCACCCTTGGGGACCTCCACCACTCAGCCCAGTCCATCAGTCCTATTCCTCCAGGCCTGGGAGGGGGCGGCCAGGGCTGGTGTAAGGCTTGGCCTGGAGTCAGTGGGCCACAGGGGCCACCTGCACCCACCAGGAAGAAGCAGCCTCAAGACATACATTCACAGAGGACGAACATGCAGGCCTCCCTAGTGGCTGGCCCACGGATGCTGCGCCCTGGCTGGTGTGGCCCTGACGGGAACTCTTGTCAGGGTGGCGGGGGAATGTGGGCACCCAGCAGGTCGTAGGCAAAGATGTTCCAGAAGATGGCGAAGAGCAGGAAGGTGCCATAGGCAAGCAGCACCACCCACCAGCCACACTGGTCTTGCAGGCGTTCCTCATAGCTGCGCAGGATGGTCAGGCCCATGCTGACACCCACCACCGCGCCCGCCAGGTGTGCCATGAAGCTGGGCTGTGGGCCTGAGGCAGGCAGTGGCGGGGAGAAGCGCAGCCACACGGCCCGGCCCACTTCGGAGCTCACTACAGAGGGAGGCAGCAGGTGAGAGGCACTCTAGCCGTAGGCTGAGGCCCCTCCACCCTGGCTCCCTACTTACTGCACACCAGGGCCAGCACCATCCTCAGCAGCTTGTAGGGACATCTCATCCCAGCCCAGTTCTGATGGGGTGTGAATAAAAAAGGCTGTGAGGGAGGCCTTATGGGCCCCTCCCCGCACCCCTCCGCAGGGGCTGCCCCGTTACCATGACGACATTGGCCAGGTGTGCAGAGCACAGGGCGTAGACCCCGCCGGAGCCCCCCACCACAGGGGCCCGCATGTCAGTAATGGAGACGGTCAGGGAGCCTGTGTGAGCAAGGGGAGAGCCGTGAGGGTGAGGCCCACCAGTGAGGTAGCCAGGGCGCACGCACCTGCCTCACCTGCCAGCACACCAGCCAGGTAGAGCAGGCTGATGCGGAGCAGGCCATGCACCATCTCCAGGGGCACCCCGATCATCAGCTGCAGGAGTGCGTTGAACCCCAGCTGCTCCAGCCTGGCCGTATGGGACAAATGGGTGTGAAGGGTGGGGTCCGCCAGGGGGCTACCAGCCCCCTGCCCCCACCTCGAGAGGCTGAGCCCTCCCGATCCAATCTGAGGGGTGCCAGAGGTGGGCCCACTCACCCAACGTGCATGAACATGTAGGTGAGAAAGCGCCAGGCCCGAGCACGGTGGCCTGGGTGGTATACGAGGGGGCTTTTCATGTACTCAGGGTGGTAGGTCTGCAGCACCCACTTGTTGAGACGGGCTCCGTAGCACAGGAACACGATGATCTGGGAGGGACAAGCGTTGGGGCCAGGCAAGACCAAGGGTAAGGGAGGCTCCCGGGGTGGTGGGTGGTGGACAGGCAGGCCCACCTGGGCGAGGGTGACCGAAGCCATAAACACAGGGGGTGGGCAGCTGCGGTGCCGGTAGAAGTACCAGTGGCGGTCCACCTCTCGGGGCAGGATCTCATAGGCCACGTAGCGCACGAACCGCTTGTAGACACCCAGTCCTGGTTCATCCAGCAGCCCGTCCTGGGGCAGTGCCCGCTGTCCATTGGCGATGGCCCGCTTGAAGCTGCTTGAGCGCTTGCTGCTGATCTGGGGGCGGGGCCTAGGCATAGGCCACCATACTCCCCCCATGGCCACCCCTCCTGAGTGGTCCACCCCGCTCGTCACAGGGTCTGAAGCCCTGCCCCATGGCTATAGCCCTCCCCAATGGGAAAGGCAGGGAGGAGGGGCCGCCTGCCCAACCCACTCCAGTCAGGGCACTGTGCCCGCACCCCAGCTGCCCACCCACTGTGGCACTGACCAGGTCCACCAGCTCCTGGTAGCAGACCTGGCCCCGCTCGTTGCTCTGGGCCAGGGCCACCAGCATGTCCAGTTTGGCCGGGTCCAGGGGCAGCTCATGGCGGTGCACCAGGCCAGCGAAGGTGTCCGCACCGATGAAGCCGGTGTTATCAGGGTCCAGCTGCTGGGGTCGGGGGGCCAGCGGCCAAGGTCTGAGGGTGGGCCGGGCTCCACGACCACAGGGCTGAGCCATGTCAGGCGGGAGAGGCAGGCTCCGAGCACCCTGGGTCCAGGCCCCTGTGCCCACATGGTCCCAGGAGCTAGCTGTAGGCACCGGTACCTAGGTCCCCGGCCTCTAGCTCCGCTAGCTCTCCAGCCGTCTCCCCACCTCATTTCTGCCTTGCCCATCCTGGAAGGGTAGGGCCAAGGTCTGAGGGCAATCACCAACCCTTTTGCCCCTCCCCAAGCGCCCTAGTCTGGCTCGGTCTCGTGCAGGGGACCAAGGTCGTGCAGGGAAGGGGCTGCGCTGAGGGTCTCAGAGCTCCGTCCCCCTGGCCCACCCAAGGGCGGGGGGCCGGCAACGGGGGCGGTGCCGGCGCCCCCCACCTCTCCACGCACCTGCTCCTGGATAAGCTGCAGCAGCGAGCTCCTGTCCATAGAGCCAGGGCGGGCCGGGGGCCGGGGGCCGGAGGCCGGGGTCGGCGGCCGCGGCCGGGAGGGGCTTCTCTGCGGACTACACCGCTCCGCCCCTGCCCTCCGGCTCCGCCCACTCCGCTCGGCGCCGCGTCACGGAGCCGCCCGCCCCCGCCGCACACGCCGCCGCTGCCAGCCCAGCCACTCGCGGTCAGGACACGCGCGCGCCCCGCACGCGGACGTGCCCGGGCAAGAACTGCGCGGGGCGCTTGGCTCCAGTGCCGGCGCCCCCGCCCCGCCCCGCCCCGGGCTGCAGCTGTTCGTCTCGCGGGGCAGCAGCCGGGAAACTGAGTCACGCGCGGCACGAAAGCCCCTTCTGCGCCCACCCCTTTGCCCCGGGCTGGGCCTCAGCGCCGACGCCACCTTCTCGGGGAAGCCTTCAGGGAACAACCCATTGCTGGGGACTCCCCCCACCGGGCTCCCTGAAGGCACCTCCCTCCCTGTCAGACATGCTTGCCGGTCCTGGCAACAAGGCTCCACGGCCCCAGCGGCGAGCACTGAAGCCAACAGGGCAACTAGCAGGGTTGAGGGAGGTCCCTGCAGCAGGCCCTGCTCAGTGGGTGGGGACCAACACAACTTGGGCTGGAGGTTCCTGACTACTCCTGTGGCCACAGCGCTAAACTGACCCATGGACACGGGGGTGGGGAGAGCCCCCAATTGACAAGACCGCAGCTGGGATGGAGAGGAGCCCTACTTCCCAGGGAGGACAGGTGGACCCCCTACAATAAGGAAGGTGACTGGCTATGGGAATGTATAACCATAGCAACCCCTCAGAATGCCTGTGCAGCCGACCCTGAGGACAGATGCAGCAGGTAGAAGTAGCATCCTGCCCTGCCCAGCTTCAGTAAGAACTGCACCAGGGGTCCTCAGGTCACCGGAGGGATGGCTGAGACAACTTAAGGGTGTGACCCTCCAGCCCCTGTTGGGTCAGGCCTGAGCATCCCCTGCCGAGGAGGCACCTCCCCCGCCTCTAGAAACAGCTTGCCAGGGCTGGGGGCCCTGACCTAAAGCCCTGTCGCAAAGGATGACTAATTACAGGAAGTAGAGGGGGTACTTGTCTGGCCAAGGTCCTCCACCCAAGCACACCACATACTGCCTCTGCTCCACGCCCAGAATGCACGCCAGAGTGAGCACCTAAACTCCAAGCTGAGCCCCCTCCTCAGCCCAAGAAAGGTTCTCTGTCCTCTTGTCCTTAGGCTGGAGCTCTGGCTGTCTCCTGCCCAGTGGGAGGGGCAGAGGCCTCTGGGTGGGGTGTGAGAAACAGGGCAGCTCCCCCAGACCAGGGCCACCTCGCACACCAGGACATTTCAGCACGTCCCAGAACCCCAGATCCTCAGCACACCTCAGCCAACCTGACAGGACGCTGAGGCTTGGGTAGTGAATACACCTGGCTGTGGAGAGGGGTCACATCAGGGGGGTCCTCAGGTATCAGGCCCCCTCCAGCCTCTCACCCTCAGGCCAGCATGGACCTCAATGGACTTAAATGCTCTGAGGCTGCGGCTGGGCCATAATTGGTCCTTACCCTGGCCTGAGACCTCAGGATGGTGACCCAGAGAGGAGGGGGGGGGGGTCAGGAGTAACATTCCCAGCCCACACCCAGACCAAAGACACGTTTTAGTTAATTCAAGAAGTCATCCTCAGAAAGCAGGACCCAATATGTAAAAGACACAAGTGAAGTTTAATCAGGAAACCCAATCTCATATGTCTTCTGGGAGACGCACAGCCCTGGACCTGTCTTCAGATTGGGGGGTGGGGGCGCGCACAATGGTCCAGCCATTTCTTGCCTCCACGCCCCTGCCTTTAGCCCAAAGCTCTGCCCTCTTACCCCCTTCATACCCTCTGGCCACATGGGACCAGGAAGGAGGAGTGGAGCCCTGAGAATTCGGATCTGGGGTCACTGACTTCCTCACCCACACCTCCCAGTCCCTCCAACACATGATGCCCACAGAAGAGGGTCATGCCCGGCACCTGCAGCAAGGCCGGACACAGGCTGCTGGGAGCCAGGGCCACCCACAGGGCTGAGGCAGGGGTGGGGCAGCAGGTGGACTGTCCTCAGGAGAAAAGTTGAGAGGGTCTCCATCCCCACCAAGCAAGTGGCCCCACACCAGCACCCTGAGATCAGACTGTGGGGTCTGGGACCTCATCGGCTCTTCACCAAGATCCTGTAGAGTGAGAAGCTGAGAACGGCAGCGACGGCAGCCCCGACGGCCCCCAGCGCCACCCGGAGCCAGAAGGAGGTGGCATGCAGCTCCCCGTGGACAAGGTGTCTGCAGGAGAGAGGGGAGTCTTGCTGCTGTAACCCCACCTCCGTCTCCTACAAAGTCCCAGAGCCCCACTCAGCTGCTCTGTGTCAGTGCCCAGCATGGCAGTACCCCCAGACTAGAGGGCAGCCTGTGAGGCCAGGCCCCGAGGGCCCCGCCTGGGCATTGGCACGGGCACCAAGGCCCACCCTGCAACCTTGACTGACTCCAGTCCTGACACCACAGCTGTGCCACTCTCCTGGGACAGGGAGGGGTCTCCCACACAGGGGCTTCGATCCTGGTACCCACGGGAAGGCGGCCATGGTGGCGAGCCGGGTGAAGATGGCCGCGCGGGGCTCGGCTGGGCCAGCACAAGAGAACAGGGCCGGGGCGGGCAGCCGGTGCCTACGGCAGAACTCAGTCGGAGACAGACCAGGCAGCAAGACGCCTTCGGGCAAGTCAGCCTTGGAGGAGACGAAGAGGCAGGGGGTCTGCCTGTCCATGTAGTGGCGCTGCAAGGGGAGGGGCCATGTGAGTGTGCTGGGGGACACCTGCCCACAGCCCTGCTACGCAGCAGGGCCCCCAGGATGGGCAGGACCTTGCCTTGTAGACACTGGCGCACAGCGAGAAGGACCTGGGGTGGCTGCTGTCAAACATCAAGCAGGCGATGTCACAGGTGGCGTCGGCCGAGGCGGTCAGGAGGCTGTCTGCACCCACCTCACACAGCTGAACAGAAAGGGTGGCCTCAGAGGGGCACAGGCTAGGTCTCCCAGGGCTGCGTTGGGCGGCTCCCTCAGCGTGCACGCTCTAGGCCTACCCTGGGGACCCCGCACTCACGATCAGGTACTTCTCCTGCCCGTTGACCTGCACGGTGTCGATGGTGTAGGCAGAGGGCTCCCCGGCAGGCTCCCCAGCATCCTGGTGCAGAGAAGGGACGCCCCTGAAGCTCACTGCTTGGACTCTTTCCAGAACCCCTGCCCCCCAGGTCCATGCACGGCACACACGGACGGACACTCACCCCCAGGCCATGGCCAAGGAAAGCTTGCAGGAAGGAGGACTTGCCCACTCCACGGGCCCCTACCACCTTGCACAAGAAAACGTTTCTCTGCGTTTGTCCCTTCTCCTGGTCCAGCCTCTTATCCCGGGTGACTGTGGGCAGGGAGCAAGGATGAACGTGAGGGAGGAATTGCCGGGGAGGCACTGGCTGGGGGCCGGTGTGAAAGCAGGCACCCACCTGTGATGGCGTGGGCCTGGGAATCCTGCTCGCAGAGGGTGGGGAAGCCCAGGTAGCCAAGGTGCTCAAGACAGTGCTGGACGTCCAAGTATGTCACCAGACTGGGGATGGGAGAAGTGGGGATGTGGCGTTACAGCAGGGCAGAGGGTGAGGCCATGTCTCAGTGGGTGAGGGCTGCACTTACGTCCACTGGCAGAGATACCCATGCAGGGGCAACCGACCGGCCTCGGTGCGGACCGTGCGAGGGAGCTGGGGGCCCCAGGGAGCAGCAGGAAACACGCTGAAGAGGCTCTGCAGCTCTGCTGGCGAGAGGGCGCCATCCCGGTCCTGTGGACAGAGGAGCTGCGGTGACATGTGCGGGCGGGTGGCCAAGGGGGGGCTCAGTGGGGCCCAGCGCCCTCACCTGGTCATGCTTCTCGAACATCCTCTGCACAAACTGGTAGCCGCGGTGGTTGAGCTCGGTGCTGCATCCGGGGGGCACACGGAGCCTGTGGGTGCCGGGATGGGGGTGGAGCTGTGCACACCTCCTTGTGCTCCGCAGGGCACCTCCTCCAAACACAGGCCATCCAGGCAGGCAGAGTCCCCCCGCCAGGGAGAGACGCCCCGATGGCCCCCAGCACAGGGTCCAGGAGCCCCAGGCCCCATCCGACACAGATGGGAGGCGAGCCCTGAGCCCAAACGCCACTCACGGTGGGCAGAGGTAGTTGGCTGTCAGCTCAAGCGAGTCGCCGTAGCCAAAGCGCCTCAGGATGGTCCACGTGGTCTCGTGGCGGCCTCGCTGGATGAAGAGTGTGTTCAAGAAAAGGAAGCCTGCTCAGGAGAAGCAGAGAAAGGAGTAACACCAGGCACAGCCCGGCCTTGCCCCACACCCCACACCCGATGTAGGCAGGGTGTCGGGCCTCACCGTCCAGGGTCAGCCGGTCATCTCGCACGCCTCCTGCCACATTCTTGCTCACCACCACCTTCACGTCCTCCAGGGCCTGTGGGGCAAGAGGGTGCCCGAAGCAGGACATCTGCTTCCGAGAGAAAGTCGCCGTTAGTCAGCCAGCTGCCCTCTCCATCCATCGTCACCAGGGGAGCCGAGGCGTGGGGTGCGGCTGCAGCTGGGAGGGTGGGTACCGCCAGGAGACAGAAGGGGGCGCACCTGGAAAGCGTTGAGCTCCTGGTCACTGAGCACCTGGTCCATGTCCTGGTCTGAGAGCCTGAAGATGCGTGTGAGGGCCTGGGTGCACTCGGGCATCAGCTGTGGGGACAGCGGCTCAGCACCCCCACCACTCCCTCCTGCTCGCCCTCCCTACCGGTGCCTTCGGCCCACCTGCTTGGCCTCAGGGTCATAGAGGGGGGCCGTGGGGTGTAGCACGGCCTTCTGTGCGTAGTAGAACAGCTCTGAGATGTTTTTCAGGTTCTTCGCCGAGCACTGGGACACGTGGGAACAGACTCAGAGGGGGAGGCAGGGAGGCCCCCTGTCCTCGCCTCTGCAGTCCTGGCACCCCCAGGGCCCTGCCTGCTCACCTCCACACAGGTCTCGATCTCAGGGAACTGGCTCATGATGGGCAGCACAGCCTCCATGGAGCCCCCCGGCCGCAGGTCCGACTTGTTGCCCACCAGGATAATGGGGACCCTGGGGGAGAGACCCACGATCACCAGGGATCAGGGAGCTGGCGGGGCCCAGCCCCCCTCCCCGAGCCCTGCCTATTACCTGGCCCCCCTCTTGGTATTCCCATTCACCAGCGGGATCCATTTGGTTCGGATCTGAAAGGTAAGACCTGGCCATGAGGATGGGGGCCTGCCCGGCCCACAGCTCCCATGTGGAACTCTCGCTTGGCTCGAGGAGAGACAGGGGAGATTGAGGGCCACTGAGAGCCAAAGTCACGGCCACTGGCAACAAGACCAGTGGGGAAGAGCAGCGGGCGGGTAGGACCTCATCTGATCCTAGCAGTTCCCAAACACCCACAAAGGGCCTGAGATCAGCAACTCCTCCCACAGGCCTAAGAGATTCAGACGCAAGGCCATCCACGCTCTCGGTGGGAGACAGGGTCATGGAAACTCGGGGGAAGCTTTGGGGGCCCTGGCCAGGGTGGCTCCGTGAAGCTCCCCAGTGGGGCCAGCCACTGGTGCAAGTTGCCCAGAACCCAGGTCAACTGAGCGTCCGCCTGTGGTGTGTGCAGAGAACAAGTGGATGACCAGGCTCGGCGCCAGTGACAGAAAGCTAGGATGGACAGAGAGTTTCCTTGCTCACCTTCTCAATAGTGGCCTCCTCAGACACGTCATACACCACGCACACCACGTTTGCCTGTTGGAAGCAAGGAGAGGGATTGTACGGTGGGATCTGAAGCTCCCTGCTTCACTCATAAGCTAGACAAGACAGGGCTCAGAGACTGGGGGAGCCCACCCTTCCAGCTGCTCCCAGGCCGAGTCACTGGCTGTTGGCTAGGCACACCTCAGGCCAGCCCTTCCCTACCCACTTCTGCTGCAGATGCCAGGCCCCAGTACTGCAGCTCTGGTCAGTGAGTCCCCTGAGGGCTCAGGACACAGCCACCCTTAAACTTGACTCCCCAACCCCAGCCTCAGCCCTTCGCTCCCTGGTCACTACAGGAAACAGCAGCCAGAGGACAACAGCACAAGGTAGGGGATGATGGCAACACAGTGGCTGCGGCCTGTACCCTTGCCCAGTGGCACCCCCAGAACACAGCAGATGCTGCAAAGGCAGCAGCCCCACCAGGAGCTGGGTCCAAGCACAGGTCCTCCTGTGCAGAGGAGAGCAGAGAGCTAGCTGTGCAGCCCACAGCCCTGGTCATGACACCCGGTGCAGCCCAGAGGCCCAGGACAGTGGGCTGGACTAAGGAGTGGGGAATGGGGGTGCTGGGCACATAGCTGCCCAAGGGATCACTTTCAAGGACTTGGAGACTGCTCCCCAGGGTCCACCAGAAGAGGGAAAGCTAGGCACGGAGAGCTGTGGGCTGGCCAACCACACATGCAAGAGGAAGGAATGGGCCTTCCTCCTGGCTCCCAGCAGAGTGCGTTACAGGGACCCCAAAGACTCTCAGTGCTAACAGGTCACAACAGAATTAGCTAGGCTGTGAACACTCTGGGCACCTTAATCCAATCCCTCAGAGACTGAAGCCGATCAAGCCAGGGCAGCCATATCCCCAAGGCCTGAGCCCTGACCCCCATGCCCAGCACCCCCTTCCCCAGGACCCACCGTACCTTGTGAATCTCGTCCTGAAGCTCCTCGACTGTCTGCTCAGCCTCTGGGTGGAAAAAGAGATCCTACTGCAGACCTGCCGGAGACGCCCGCTCCTGGGCGCAACCGCGGGCGGGCGACCCCTCTACCTGAGTAATCCACGATGTGGGTGGGCACCTTCTCTGGGGTGACGTCCGCGGGAATGGTGATCTCTTCTGCCCGGGGAGGGACCTGGGGCAGACGCGGCCGTGAGGACAGCCGGGAAGGGCGGAGGGCGGCGGCGCCCGGACCTGGGCCCTTCTTGGGCGCGGGGGCGTGCTCGGCCTTACCTCCTCGGGGAACTCCTCGCCAACCAGCGACAGGATCAGCGACGTCTTCCCCACCTGGGCTGCGCGGGGCGGCGCGGTCAGCGCGGTGGCCAAGGTCGCGGCGCCTCTCCCCACCCCGGCCCCAAGATCCCTGACCAGGCTCGACCCCCGCCCGACCCAGGCCCAGACGCCTACATACTCTCGCCAAGCAGCAGGATGCGCACGTCCCGCTTCATGCTGGCCGCCGGGAGCTGCAGTCCGACCCCAGTTCAGGCCCGGCCCCGGCCCACAACCGCAACCCCCGACCCGCGCTGTAGCTGCGCCCGCACTTCCGGCCCCCGCCCGCGCAGCCGCCCTAGCGAGGCGGGCAGGCCAGACCAGCCTAGCTGCCCGGCGGCGCCACCGCGTGGGCGCGCCGGGTACTGCCGGCGCCGCCGGCCAGGGGGGCGGGGCCTTTGCCCAGTGCCGCCCCGCCCCCGCAGCTCCTGCTCAGGCTCCCGCGGCTCTCGCAGGGGTCAGGATCCCTGGCAGGGAGCAGGAGGTCTGGAGGTTGGGCAGAAACTGAGCAGGCAGTCTGGAGTGACCAGGAGACAATGCCTCAGTGCAACACCCACATTTATTTGAACTGTACAAGGTAGAAACAAAAGCCCAAAGGAAAAGAGGCAATAAGCACTTCATACATGTTCAAGGTCTTGATGATTTGCATACACTCCTGGGCAGCCGGGTGTGGAGAGGTGAAGCCCACCCAGCCATCCTGGCCCAGCACAAGGCCCCCGGCCAACCCAGTTTCTCAGCTGAGCCTCTGCCCAGGCCAGGTGCCCAGCTGACCAGCAGGGCAACACCTGACCCCGCACTCCCCACTGGGGGTCAGTGGCCTGTGACTTCCCACACCAGTATCTCATTGTGGGCCGCCGTGAAGAGCAGCCGAGCAGACGGGGCAAACCTGCACAGCTGCACCGAGTCATCATGGGCAGCAAAGTCCTGCACGGCCCCCGACGCACAGTCCACCAGCCTCAACACACGCTCTGCCGGGGGACAGCATGGGGTGGGCTGGGACAGGTAGGGTGCCGTGGGCCCTGTGCCTGTGTCTGTATAGTTCCAGGACCCAGGGTTCCTCCAACCCACCCTGGCTCTATCTCCAGCTGGGGCCAGTGCCTCACTGGGGGAACCTGGCACCCCACTCCCCTCATTTCCTTACCCTATCTAAGACTCCCCTGGAGCAGGTGTCCTCACCCCACTTTCAGGGACAAGGGGTATGGCTCAGTATGGGGGCACAGGTGTACCCACTGGGCCCCACTCAAGACACCAGCACTCACCAGAGAAGCCAATGGCTATAAGGTGGGCCCCAGGGGACAGGCTCATGGACACAGCAAAGAAAGGCAGTGGGATCTTCTCCATCACCTGCAGACAGCAAGCGTGAGGCACCGGGCGGGGGTTCCCGTGGCCCCGAGACCTGCCCCACCCCCCAGCCCCGGGTCCCTCAGGCTCCCAGAACCACATGGAGGGGCGCACGTGCCTGCTTCCGGCAGAGGCTGTAGAAGAGCACCTCCTGGCGCACGCCGAGGCCCGCACACACCAGCAGCGCCTCATCCCAGGGGCAGAAGGCGGCGAGGGAGGGCGGCAGGCAGCTGGGGACCTGTGGAGGGCACAGCACACTGTGGCAGGGTGAGGGGCACCCCGCCCACAGTGCCACCGGGACTCTTACCTCCGTGAGGGCGGGCGCTGGGAAGCTCAGCCAGTCCACGAGCTCACAGCGGTCCCGCAGCCAGTTGGAGGCCCAAACGCTGACCTGCTGGTCCCCGCTGGCAGCCAGCCACAGGTCCACACCCTCTGCCCCGAAGTCTCCATACTGGGGGCATAAAGGCTGGTAGGTGCCGCCTGCCCTGCTCTCCCATCGCCTTCCCTGCCAGTACCCTCGGCTCAGGCCAGGCCCTGCAGGCTCACGAGGCCACTTCACCTCTCTTCTCGTGCTCTGGATGGTGCAGATCGGGGCTCCCCGATGGTCACTCAGCACACGGAAGGTCATCCCCGTGCGAGGGCAACTCACAGCCACGAGCCCATCCTTGTCTCCGGAGAGGATGGTCTGACCTGGGCGAGGCAGAGACCAAGCTGTTACTCGTAAGCCCCTAGCCCTCAGCCCACAGGTGTGACCTGGGCCAGGCAGAAGCCGTGCTGTCACCGTGAGCCCAGCCTCACCGTCAGCAGAGAAGGCGATGGCCGTCAGTGCAGCCGAGTGGGGATGCATCTTGAACTCCATCGCTATGAGGGGGATGCTGAAGAGCCGCACCGTGCCGTCACTGTAGCCCGCTGCCACCCACTGCTGTTCTGGGCATTCGCAGGATGGGGGGCTCCAAGACAGGCAGAGGCAGCTCTGGGGACCCATGGTGGGAAAACATTAGCACACCCCTGGGGAGGGAGGAAGGGGCCCAGGCCCAAGGCCACAGACAGACACCAAGGCTGGAGGGAGGACGAGGCTGCTGGAGCCCCGGGCGTGCACCCCAGCCCCAGGCGTCCTCTGAGTACCTGGCTGAGCACCTGGAACTGGATTAGCAGCTCCATGCTGGCCATGCTCCACACCCTCACGCTCCCATCATCACTGCACGTGGCACAGTGGGACTCGCTGGGGCTGAAGACCACCTCGTTCACCTGTGAGGAGCCACCACCCTACCTGAGGCCCATGGCCCTCAAGCAGAGAGGGAACACAGCATGGCCAGGTCATTCATGAGGGCATCCATCTCCCCCTTGAGCCTACCTGGCCCCGGCCCACCATGTGGCACAAAGAAACTGTCCTGACCTCCCTCCCTCCCAAGTGTCCCCACACTAGACCTGGGTGGAATCCAAATTGCAAGAAGCCCACCAGTCAGTTGAACTTGACCATCCACTTGCTAGGACGTCACAGAAGGAACTGTCCTGACAGAACCTAGAACACGGGACTCCCAGGGGGGCCACTCCTGGGCCTCATCACAGCAGGGGGGGTGGGGCTGAGATTTTCGTGTGTGTGTGTGTGTGTGTCATGTGTATCGAGGGAGAAAGCAGTTGTATGATTACACAGAGTCAGGATCTCTGGTGTAAAAAAAAGGAGACAGAAAAAAAAATTAAAATTAAAATAAAAATTAAAAAATTAAAAAAAGGAGACAGGCCGTGCACCAATGAGGTAAAACAAAATATCCAAGTCCTGAATGTGAATTTCAAGCGTTAAGTATAAACTCCTGATGTATTTTATCTTAGAAAAATAATAATTTAGGTCTGTTTGCCTGAGAAGTGATGGGTCCCTCTGGGCCTCAGACCGTGACCTCTAAGCCCATTTCCCACTGGAGGGGCCCACAGGCTCTGGAACAGCCAAGTCCGGTCTTGGGCGGAGCTGCAGAGGGAGAGGCTGGAGCACCTGTGGTCCACAGAAGAGGGGGACCACCAGTGACCACTAGCTCAGGTCAAGAACTCAGCACCCTCAAGCTCATGCCCTGGCGGGTGGATAAACTCATCCTATCTGTACCACAGAAGCGTATTTAGCAGTAAATAGGAGTGAAGCACTGACATTCGCTACAACTCGGATGGACCTTGAAAACACAATGCTCAGTGAGAGAAAGAGATAGAAAGCACCACAGATTGTGTTTCTGTTCACAGGGACCATCCAGAACAGGCAAACCAACAGAGACAGAGTCGGTGAGCGCCTGCCAGGGGCTGGGCGGTGAGTGCTTAATGGCTGGGGGGTTTCCTTCTCGGATGAAAGTGACTGCGGTGATGGCTGTACAGCTCTGCAAATGTTTCAGAAACCATTGATGTTAAATGGGTGTGTGGCCCACAGATTATACCTCGACATAAAGCCATTACCAGAGAAAAAGGAAACACGTAACCCTCACTACCTCACACAAGAGTTTCTTTGTTGGCTACTGTTACGCCTAAACAAATGAACGTAGAATTTTTTAAAAAAAGACTCAGGAGCCAACTTGAAGACCCTGCCACCAGCCGAGGCCAAGATGCCATGAGCATCAAGAGAAAGTGACAGTGGGGAAGCCAGACCCACATTTCCACACACCAGCCCTTAATAGCTCTCAGAAAGTAACACATTGACTGCTGCTGGGGGACCTGGTCCACGAGGGAGACTCATCTACCTGTGCCCTGTCCCAGCCCCGGGAAATCTGAGAGCTCTCGAGGCCATTTCCCTCCTGAAGGAACGAGGGATCTGACTACTGCCACCTGCAACTCCTGCCGCCAGACAAGGGCATCACTGGTGGGAGACACAACGCTCCCAGAAGGAAGTGACATTGGGACTGGCTGGCCCTGACTAGGCCCTGGCCTGGCTTCCAGACCCCTCGGACCCCAGGGAAGCATGTCCAACAACAGTGGTGGAAGACTCCAGGGTGGATGACCAGTTTTCTTCAACACGTAAATTACAAGAGAATAAAGTGGCAGAAAAGAGGAAGGGTCAAGAAGGCCACAGGGCCTGGGGTTGCTGCATGTGGACACGGCATGGACCCCATGCCCACGGGGAGGGGCGCGTGGTTCCAGGGGTGCAGCTGGTCCTGGGAACGCCTGGACGCTCGCAGCTGCGCTTGGGCTGGGAGCACCCGGGGGGCGGGGACGGAGGGAGCGCGCGGCAGCTGCCTGGCTTGTGCGGGCTGGGATCCCCTCAGAAATCCTCGGCGGCAAGCCGGTGGCCCAGCGGCCTCACCTTGCTCTGGTGGCCGCTGATGAGGCGGGTGCTTGTGCCCTCAGCCCAGCTGACGTACCAGAGCGTGCCCGCCGTGGTGCCCACCACACCCATGTCCATGCTTTCATGGAAGACTGCACTCACGACGGCCCCGTCAAGGGTCAGCTCACGCTCCATAAACACAGAGCTAGACCTGGAGGAGCAGGGGGTCAAAGGGGTGGCAGCAGCGAGAGCCAAGGGAGCCAGGTGGTTTGGCCCACGGGCCCTGGCCTTGCCTGAGCATGTCCCCTGGGGGACGGGCCCAGCTGGCAACAGAGTGCCAGCTCCCAGACACACTGTAGACGCTCACCTGGCCCCGGAGCCCTTGCGCCTCAGCTCCAATACGGCCCCCACGGCCCATAGGCGCAGCCGTCTGGTGTTGCTGCCACTGACCAGACGCGCGCCCGAGCACAGCAGCACTCCTGGAGGACAGGAGATGCCGTGAGCCACGTCCCCAGATGCCTGGGACTCAAGATGGTGTCCACCGCCCCAGCACTGGGACTCCCAGGGAGAACCGAGCCCCAAGCTGTCAAGGGCCACAGGGGCTCTGTCAGACACCCACCGATCTCACCGTCGTCCGCCTCCCAGGCCAGAAAGCAGCAGCCGGCACACATGTCCCAAACACACACCTGGCCAGCATTGGAACCGCAGTAGAGCAAGGGTGTGGTCCCGTAGCAAAGCGAGGTCAGCTCGCACCCCCCCACCTCCTCAGGGATGGGCTCTCGGTGGACCTGGAGGAACACGAGCACAGTGTGGGTCAGCGATGCCCTGGGGTCCAGCCAGACCCCATCCTCCAAAACCTCCTCTGAACCCTGGCACCTGGAGGCTGACATCGTCCCCACGCTGCTGCAGAAGCCACAGGGTGACGGCACCCTGGCCCACGCAGGTGAGCTCGCCAGCGTCCCAGGGGTTGAAGGCCATGCCGTATACTGGCTCTGGGAGGAATGTGGAGGACACAAGCTCGTAGGTGGCCATGCTCCACAGGGCCAGGGTGCGGTCGCCATAGTCCCCTGTGGGAGATGCACAGTGACCACATCAGCTGCCCAGGGTTCCCAGGACAGGCAGGGGAGTCCGGAGACCACTGTCCTCCGCCCCCGCCCTGCTGACCCAGCGTGACGAGGAGCCTATCGTCTGGCGAGAAAGCCAGGGCCTGGACAGCAGTGTCGTGGTGAGAAAGGAGCTGCCGACAGGAGCCCCCCGGCACGTCCCAGACACGGATCTGGCAGCGGAAGGCAGTGCTGCTTCGGCCTGAGGCAGAGGCCAGCACCTGGTGGGCAGGCAGGTGGGGGGTCGGCAGGAAGGGTGCAGTCCACGAGCCCGTTCTCGCTCTGTGTAAAGGGCTGCTCTGGAAGCGAGAGCCAGCCGCACGCAGTTCAAGCTCCGAGGCACACCTCGGCCCTGGGCATTCAAGGCAGGCTGCAGGACAGGCACCTGGGCATCGTGGCTGAGGGCCAGCGTGGAGATCTCCTCAGGGTGGCCAAGCCAGTGCTGCTGGACACCAGAGTGCAGGTCCTCCACCACCACCAGGCGACCACACGTGTAGGCGAAAAAGCCTGTGGGCAGGGAGGAAGCGCCTGCCCTGTCAGCCCCACAGCCCCAGGCACTTGTGCCCACACCCCCCAACCCCACCCCAAGGAGAACTCCTGCTTACAGCAGGAAGTGCCACCAGGAGGACACGCCCACCCTGCAGCCCAAACCACCTGTGGGCCCCTCCATGGGGCCTGGCCTAGGGGTGGACAGAACTGAGCCCGCTCTGCAGTGTCTGGGCCGTGGCCCCCACCTGTGTCTGGCCTCCAGACCAGGTTGGCGCGCCCGTTCCCATTGTAACCCATGACGGCCTTCAGGTGCAGCCGCTCATCGCCGACAGCAGGGAAGGAGAGGCCCTGTGAGGAAGTGGACCCAGGACGCTGGCACCGGCCCACCTGGCCCAGGCCCCCAACCTCAAGCTCTGCCCATCAGGCCAGGCGTGGGACTGAGCCTTGGGAGATGCATGCTCCCGGGAGGAGGCAAATGACAGGTACATGGGCACCAAAGTCTGCACGCGGTGGCCAGCGGGGCTGGGAGCCTGGCATGCAGCATGCAGACAGGGAGGCAGGAGGAGGAGATGGGGAGGCGCCTGCTGGGGGGGAGGTGAAGGGGAGCCAGGACCATGGAGTGAAGAGAGTGTGTGGGCTCAGCAGGATACGCCTGGGTCCAGTCATCGCGTGACAGTGAGAACCTAAACCAGCCCGGTGAGAACATGGGGCTCAGGGCGGAGGGGTGACCCGTGGGGCAACTGCCAGCAAGGCCTGGGCTGCTGTCAGCTCTGGGAGCTGCCCCAGGGAAACCCCAGGGAGCCTGTGTCTACCGGGTAGCAGGAGTACCCCCAGACACCACAGGGCCATGCTGCCTGGACCCCTGGGCTTCCAGGATATCCATTGGTGGCAGGGGCTATGAGGATGCCCCACCCAGCCAACCTTGGGCAGCAGCGAGTCCTTGTAGCGAGCTGTGAAATGCCAATAGGAGTCCGGGCGAGTGGGGGGCTGGGCCCTGCCTCTTCCAGTGCTGCAGGCACCTGTCAGGGAAGGGAATGAGGCTGTGAACCCCCAGGGACCACACAGTGACCCTCCTTGCAGGCACCCTGCCCTGGCTGGTCAGACACTTGGGTTCAAAGGGCACAGATGAGCCACGTCCCATCACCCACCTGGCCCAGCAGGGGCCTTGGGCTTTCCAATTGTCCTGTAGGTGACCATCCCTTGTCTGCCAGGGGCAGCTAGGTCTGTCCTTATGTCACCTGGAGTCCACGTGGTACATGCACCTGGACCCTGGTCCAGTTATGAGTGACCCTGCCCCACCCTGCTGCCCCTCCCCTGCTTACTGGGCCAACCACGGGGGTGGGGAGGCCTGCCAAGGTCCCAGGGGCCCCCCATGGCCCCATCACCGGCCCTGCCAGCCTCCTTCTGCACCAGCACAGGTGGGCCTGAGGCCTGGCGGGGACCCTCAGGGCCACGGCTCTCATCTGACATGGAGAAAGCGCCTGAGGAGGGTGGGGAGACAGTGAGACGAGGGAGCAGAGCACCCCCATGCCCTTGCCCCTCCCCCAGGCCAGGAGCAGCAAAGCATGTCAGGATGGGAGCCAGGAACACATCCCCTCCAGGCCCTCCTAGGACCCCTACCCTCACCATCATGGTCCTTGGGGGGCCTGGCACAGATGTCCAGCCAGGGTGGGGACGCCTGGGATGGCATGGGCACCTGCTGCCGGGGAAGCCCATTGGCCCCAGACACCATGTCCTCCAGCTGTCTTGTACCCAGGCCTGAGGACGGAAGGAGCTCAGCTGAGCTCAGGGCCTGGGGAGGGCAGAGCAGAAGGCGTGCCCAGCCCCTCACGCCCAACCAGCTCTGCATCGGGATCCCCAGGAAAATAACAGCGCTGTGCACCCACAGCGGTTACAGTGCCAGCAGAAGACATCACCATGGAGCGTGCCAGTGTGGTGGGACAACTCACCAGCTTTGCAGGTTGTGCGGGCCCCGGGAGAGCCTTGGACACTGCAGAGGTGACAAGAGAGATGGTCGGGTGGGGCGGAGGGGTGCAGAGGGAGGCCTGGCAGATGCATGTTGAGGGCAGGAACTTGCCTTCCTGGAGGGGACTTCTCAGAGGGGGCCAGAACGTCCCAGAGAAAGATGGCGTCTCCCACACTAAGGAGCTGCTGTTGGTCGGGGGTGAAAGCCACGGCCCGCACAGGTTCTGAGTGGCCGATGTACACCTGAGGGCAGCAGTGTGGCAATACAAAAACCACTGAGGCACAGCTGGAGACACCTGGCCACCAGACTGCAGACTGACCAAGAGGACCTCATGCAGTGTCAGGCCCCAGCAGGCATGGGGGAATCTCAGGGACTGTCCTCTACCCTCCTTCTTACCCGCTGTGCGCCTGCCCAGGGCACACACCTGGCAGCCAGGGCCGGCCTGTGCTGAGTAGTCCCACACCTTGATGGCCCGGTCAGCGGCTGTGAGCAGGAAACGGCTATCTCCGCTGAGAGCGAGGACAGAGCAGGCCGCAGGGGGGACACAGGACAGCTGTGAGAGAGGGTGATTGCTGAGGGAAAAGGTCGGAGCACACAGGACCACCAGTTGGGGGAGCCCCCTTCTCACAGAACACAACCTCTAGGGAGCAGCAAGCGGCCCAGGGCCTCCCCTCCTCTGGGCACTGTGGGCAGCAAGGCTGGAGCCAGGAAGGCGGGGGAGGCCAGGCCACCAGCCGCAGTCTTGGGCTCACCTCCCGGACCAAGCGGCCCGACGTGGCATCTAGCACTGCAACCATGTTAGAGGACGTGGACACCAGCAAGTGGCCAGGGGGTGCGGGGCCAAAGCAGACAGCCACAGCTGAGTCCAGGCGGCTGCCAGCCAGGTCCAGAGTGCTGATGTCAACCCTCAGCAGCTGAGGGAGAGCAGCAAGTGTCCTTACCATGACCTCCGGCCAGAGCTTGAGCCCCCAGAGCTGGGGCCCGGGCCTTGGGCACCCATCCGGCAGGCTGCCCACAGCTCACATGTCCTCTGTGCCCCGAGGGGCGCAGGGCCCAGGTCCTTTCTGAAATGAGCATGGCCTCCCACCCAGGGAAACACGCAGCTGCCAGGGTCAGGGTGCCCACAGGGTCTGTGGGCCAAACTGGCGTGGCTCCTCCCTCACTGCACACAGGGAGGGTTCCAGTTGACTCACCTCATCCAGTGAGGTTGTGTCCATGATGGTCACCGTGTACTTGGAGGGACCCACAAAGGCCAGCAGGTGGCTGTCCCCACTGACCACCAGGGCACTGGGGCTCGGGCAGGCCTCCTGGCACACCACGTTAGCTGCCGGCATATGGGGACAGGCAGTCAGCTGGGTCGGGGTGGGGGTGGGGCACCAGGACACTGGTCAGAGACCTACTGGTGCGGAAAACACCAGCCTGGGCTGGGCAGATCCCATAGCAGCCAACCCATGGGGCCTGGATGTGAGGGCACCAAGACACCAGTGGGCACCACGGACTGCCAGGAAAGCTGGCGGCTCTCCCAGAGTGACCAGCAAGTGACCATCTGGCTGGCCCGAGTTACAGTGGCCATGGGAGGGGGCCGACTCCCCTGCTGGCCTGGTGCTCAGGCTTCAGGTACTCACTTCCTCCTGGGGGAAGGGTGGGCACAGACTCTCACTGACCTTCAATCTCGGGGGGCTGGTGAGTCCTAAAACCACACTTGGCTCTGGGAGTCTCAGTAGTGCGACTGTAGAACGCAGTACCACGGTTGGGGGCGACACGTACCCCCACCCCCGCAGGGACCTGACCAGGGGATGGCTGGGAGGCCAGAGTAGGGCTGGGGCTGGACCTGGGGGCCTGACCTGTCACACGAAGGATGCGGCACTGGGGCGCGCCACTATGGTACTGGGCCAAGGAACCCCGAGAGCAGGAGCTGAACAGCAGGCTGCCGTCGGGGCTGGCGGCCAGGCCGGTGATGGCTCCGCGGTGACACCTGCACACGCGAGACGCCGTTGCCTTGCCCCTGAGCTGCACCGTCCCAGACCTCCTGCAGAATCCAGGAGGGGCAGCAGAGGGCGGGGCTTCCTATAGACGGCCCTCCCCCACACTGCCCGATCTCCCACACTCCCCAGGGAACCCACAAACCACTGGAGCTTCCACCTCGATCATCTGTGGGGCCAGGGCCGGCTGGCCACCCACCTGTGCTCCACTAGGACCTCGGTGGTCTCCAGGCTGAAGGAGCGGACGGCCCCGCTGCTGAAGCCACAGAAGAAGGTGGGCTGGGTAGGGTGGAAGGCAACAGCACACGGGGCCTCCTCCGGAGATGCGAAGTCATACAGCTGGAGGACAGGGCCATGTGAGGGCGGACATGCTGGGGCAACCAGCCAGCCACAAGGCCCGAGAGCCAGTCTCTCTCCAAGTGCCTTGAACCTTCAGGCCCCAAACACAGGCAGAAGGACTCAGGGCCCCACCCACCAGGCCTCAGTGTGGCCTGCGGCCCTCCAGTCCCTCCCGCCTGGCTGGCTTCCTTCCGGCCACACCCCACCTGCTGCAGGGTCGCTAGGTCCCAGATGCGGACAGTGTGGTCCTGGGACACAGTGGCCAGCTGTCCCCGGCTGCACTCAGTGGCAAGGGCCAGCACCGGGGCGGCGTGGGAGCGCACCAGCACGCTGTACTCCCGGGACAGGATGTCCAGGAAACCCAGGTGGCCCGAGGAGGTGGTGGACAGCACACGCAGGCCATCAGGGCTGACGCAGACAGAGCTGATGGGGCCCTCGTGCTCTGCAGGCAGGGTGGGTCGGTGACCACCCAGGCCTGTAGTGGAGTGGGCCCGGCACCTGGGCCAACTGGGGCAGGCTGACCATATCCATGCTGTGCCTGTGCCCAGCCCCTCTGCCCAGGACACTGAGAAACGCGCTTCCCTGCTGCCCGGAGCCCCATCTCCCTGTGAGCTACAACAGGCGCCTCCACTGTGACCACCCACCCCCGGGCTCAGCAACGGTGGACCCCAGCTCAGGACACAGCCCCTTGGAGCCCCATGACTGCCGTCCAGCCCGGGGACACGGCCCTCCTGCGGCAACCCTGGTGGCAAGGTGATGTCGAGGCCCCACCTGCCTCCAAGAGCACAGAAGAGAAGTCCAGGGGCCAGAGGCGCAGGTAGCCGTCCTCGGAGCCCACGGCACACTTGGCCTGGGAGATGCTGAGGCTGCTGATGGCGATGCCGGGGCCTGGGTGGGGGGAGGCACGGTCAGCCCAAAGCGTCAGGGCCACTCCTCCCAACACAGCAGGGCCCACCTACCTGAACTGAAGGTCTGCTTCTGTGGGAGGGGGCCACCGGGGGTCTGTGTAGGCAGGAGGCGGCGAGCGCACCGCACAGCCATGCGCTGGTGGTCAATCTCCAGGATGTGGCCGCTGCGGCTGCAGACGTAGCTGCCCAGAGAAGCAGAAATAACAAGTGAAGGCGGAGGGGCCGAGGGGCGGGGCAAGGAATGGGCGGGCCCTGGCCATTAGGGGAGGGAGGGTAGGGCTCACAGTGTGTGGCCGTCCTGGGTCTGCCTGAAGGCCAGGTCACTGAACTCCAGCCCATGGTGCTCCCCCAGGTTCACGGGGCAGGAGTGCAGCCTCCCACTTCGCAGCCGCCACAGCCGCACGCTGCCCCGCCCGCACGATGCCATCCTGCGAGGGGTAGGAGGTGAGCCAGGGAGGAGGGGCCAGCTCACAACTCGCTGGTCCCAGCATGGAGGATGGGCAGGCGGGCGGCCAATCACCTGGTTTCATCGAAAAAGGCCACCTCGAATGCCTGGATGTCAACATCGCTGTGCACCTTCGTGAGGATGATGGCCTCTCCGCCTCGCCCCACCTGGGCCGTGCCCCACACCACCACAGTCTGCAACAAGTCCGTGCTGAGCACCCACCACCCGCCTGGCCTCTCCCACAGAAGCAGGTGCGTTGGGCTGCAGGGGGTGGGGAAGTTGGCCCCTGCGGCCCGGAGGAACCTACATGTGCCCACCCGGGGTTTCCACAGACACGTGTATGCAGAAAGGAGCAGGAGACACAACCACGAGTGGAGGAGAGGCCCCGGGTGAAACACCCAACTTCAGAAATGCTGGCATGTTAAACACGCCCAGCTCAGGGGTGGGGGACTTGCCACTGAAGAGGGTGAGGCCGGTCAGTCAAAAGTCAGCTCCATCCACAAGAGAGTGAAACAGACACTCTGTGGCAAGTATGGTGCAGTGGTGCCCGGCGGAGCTGGGGGAGGCCTGCGGGGGACCCTTGCTGCCTGCCTGCACCCCAGGATGGGCTGCCCCACCTCCCCGGCCTGGTCTGCTTACCATCCGCCCATGGCGGTCCTTGCCGACACCACAGAGCACCTCCCCACTGTCAGAGAAGCTGCAGATGGAGAGGGGGAGGTCAGTGTTGCAGGCGCAGCCCCCACCCCCCTCGGAGACCCTGCACCCACCTGAGGGAGCAGACGGTGTGGACTGGGCTCTGGAACAGGGACAGGCACTCCCCGGTCTGGAAGTCCCAGAGACGCAGCATGCTGTGGGGCCGTGCCTGGGCTGAGGCCAGCAGGGAACCGCTCCCATCCAGCGCCAGGGCAGAGACCTGGGGGGCAGCAGAGTGAGGGAGGGTGTGTGCCTGCAGAACAAGCCACCCCTGGGCCAGGGTGCCCACCTTGTCTGTGTGGCCAAGGAAGAGACGCTGCTCCCGGGTGTTGACACACAGGACGACGATGACCGCATGGCAAGGGTACACGACAGCGGCTCCATCCCGGGTCCACAGGGCCTGTGCACAGGGGCCGGAGGCTGAGGTCACAGGCTGGTCGGCTTCGTCCCCCCACCCCAGCACTCCCCCGAGCCCCACGCAGAGAAGTCAATGGGATACACGTGCCAAAAGAACAGAAAGAACTCGGGTGCATGTGCGCAAGGGCAGGGCTTCCTCTAAGCCCTGTCTGCAACACAAGAAACTTTGGGATTCAGGTGACAAAAGGCCAGAGAGCCCCCAAAGACTCGGAGTTCGTGTCCTGGAAGGCCTGGCGAGCACACAGCCTCCTCTCCTGCTGCTGTTCCTGCAGGGTCCCACAAGTCTCGCCCATACCCGGCCTCACTCAGCTGGACGACACACATCAAAGCTTTAAAGGGTGAGCAAGGGCTCTCAGGTCTCTGGAAGCTTGAGTGATTGGACCAGCACCGACCCAGCTGGTGTTCATGACACAAGGGGATGCCTGCGACGGGATGTCATCACATCAAGGAAGCACTGAGCGTGTGAGGATGCGGACAGGGCTGGGCATCCGCAGCGGTGAAGGGACCCGACGCCTGGGGGAGCTCAGCTGTCCACACAGCCACCTCAGGGAAACACGGGGTGTGCCCACTGTCCCCTCTGTGTATCTGACACTTGCATGACCCAGCAAGAACAGAGGATCCCTCACCCATTTGGTGCTGTGACCCCCAAAACCGATGACCCCCTTGAGCCTCAGGACCGGATCCGGGAGGAAGCTCTGAAATAGGCAAACTCACAGTGAGACCCCAAAGTGGCGAGGCTCTTGTCCCACCAGGGCTGCCCCACCCAGAGCTGGTGCCTGCCTCCCAAGAAAGCCACCTGGTTCTAATGCCTTCTGCCAGCTGCTCTATGGCAGGAAACCAGAATTCCAATCACATTGCTAGACCCTCCAGGTACCCCAGTCCTGCGCCTGCCTGGAGTCTGAGCCCGCCCCCCACCAAACCACTGGGGCTGGGGTCAGGGCACCAGCCCCCTCCTTACTCTTTGTCGAAAACGATTCTTGCCCAAAGCCGCCTCCTGTTGGTTCTGCTTTCTGCCAGGAGACTAGACGGGAAGGAACCATCTGCCCCACGCATATTCCCAGTGGACAGAGGCCCAGCAGCCCTCCAGCCACACCTCATCCACATCCCACTCCCCTCGGTGGCACAGTCCAGCCCCACCTTCCTTTGGAAAAGCACTCACCTCTTGTGGGGACGCATCCTCTGGGGCCGTAGGCTCCACAGTCGTCTGATGCACAGACATGTAAAAGGTGTCATTGGCCGCGTGCTTGTCAGTGGCCTCCACCCAGGCCAATGGCTCCTGGCTACGGCCACTGGGGCCACCCACACTAGAGACCTCGGAGCGCTCACAGAACACGCTGACTTCTGGAAGGGGCCTGGGCACAGAGGGGGCCTGGCGGGACTTTGGGAGGACAAGTGCCTGTTAGCACCCTGTGGCCACCACCCTCAGCCCCATCTCCAAGGGCACAGGGCACTTACGGCTGTGGGGCCATGCTTCTGGACCATGAGGGCCAGGCTGTCCTGAACAGGCTTGCTGAAGGCCGCTGGGTGAGGGAGAAGCCGCAGCACAGGCCCTGCTAAGATTGCAATTGAGAAGAACCCACTGAGCAGAGTGCAGACAAGCCTGTGAGAACGTGGCCACAAGGCACTGGGCAGGGGGCAGCAGTGGGCCCTGGCCTTGCCCACTCTACAGGAGGGAAGCCACAACAACAGCTGCAGCCTACCCTACCGTGGGCCCCGGCACCCCTTCCCAGTTGGAAAGCTTGAAGCCACCAGGCACCCTAGTCAGAACCTCCCACACTGGGTCTGGGGCCTCGAGACAGCCTCCCCTCACCCTTGCAGGCATCATGCTGCTGCATTCACCTCCCCAGATGCAGCATCAAGCCCCCCTCTCCCGCCGAGCTCCATGGGCCCTTCAGGCCTGAACCTGGGTCACCGCTGGTCCCACAGGCCCACCTGCCTCAGAAGGGGAACAGCTCTTCTGAACTGCCTCTGAAGGTGTTTTTGAGCTGTTGCTTGGAAACCTTGGCGGGGTGGAAGGACAGTCAGCTTCCAGGGGCGGCCCTGCCGTCCCTCCACCCAGCTGCCCTCATGACAGGCAGAGCTGCTCACCGGATGTGGACATAGTGGTCGTGCCAGCTCTCCCCCTTCGGCACCGGGAATGCCATTTCTCGAGGTATGGGGGTGATGGGCAGTTTTGCACGCCGGGCTTCAGCGACGGTGACAGCTACGAAGAGCAAAGTCCAAGGAAGCCCACCCAGCTCCCTCTCCCAGCCCAGACAAGACAACACCAGGTGCCAGCCAGCAGGGTACTGCCTGGCCACCAGCCCAGCCACCCCCTCCCCCAGCGGCTGCCTTGGGAGCTGGGAGGCTCAAAGATGGTACAGCATGGGCATTTTCACCAACTGCCAGGGAGGGTGTGGAGGCCAGCACACAGGGAGTTAGAGCAGGTGGGCTGCAGGCTAAGCACACCTTTAGCCCTCACCGGGATCGAAGCACAGGTCACTGGTATAGAGGTTCCTGACCAGCAGGCTAGCACACAGCCTGATGCTCTTGAGGTGACTGTAGCGTCGGTTCAAGTAGACCAGGAGAATGTCGTGCAGGTCGAGCTGCAGGCAGGTCCAGCGGGCACCAGGGGAGCCCACACCTGCCAAGTGTGCAGGACAGGAGCAAAGGTCAGAGCCTACCCTCACCAACTGGCCCACAGTACTCTCTGTCCTCGGACTGTCCCCACTCTCATGGCCACAGCCACGTGCCCCTCCACCCAGGCTGTCCCTGGCCTGCCTCCCCCCTGAGCCTTCTGGCTGCCTGCCTCTCCCAGACCGTCTGTGACCCGTTCACACCTCATCTGCAAGCTACCTTTCCTGGGTGTCCCAGTCTCACAGATGAAAGGGAACTGAAGCCATGTGGCTGTGGACCTGAAGTCCTTGAAGAAGTTGGAGAATGACACTCGGATGACCTGGCTGTCCTGTAGGTATACAGAATGGCCGTGAGAAGAGGAGACTGCAGCAGGAGTGCAGGGCCCCCACCGGCAGCTCCCGCTCTCCAGCTTGTAACCTCTGTACACAGGTCCAGGTGAATGACGAAATGCTTGGCGGGCAGGGGCCGAAAGAGCACGTACAGGTAGCGTCCGGTCAGCCCCAGGGACTGGGTGCTGGTTTTGGGGAGCTGGATGTAATTGCCAGCAGAGACAGGGCCCCGCACGCGGTACACTGTGCACTTGAGGGTCTTGTCCTGCAGAGAGACATGGGAGGCGTGGCGTCCCGCTCAGCCCCACGGAGCGCCAGAAGGGCTGCAGCAAAGCGGCCCAGCAGACAGAGAGGCCGCCGCTCCTGCTGCCAGGAGCCCCGACCCACTTACCGTCACGACGGCCACGTCGCCCTCTTTAGAGGACCGCTTCCACTCGTCCACCTTGAAGTGTCTGAAGACGTTGAGGAACGGCTGCTGCCACACTGGGGAACACGGGGGCGTGAGGTGCCAGATCCACCGCGGGTCTAGGGAGGGGGCCGGGGCAGGGTCTGCGCACTCCCCAGCTGTGACAGCCAGCGCAGCGCGCGGACTGGGCTCCGGGCGAGTCTCAGCACCAACCCGTCCGCGGCGGCGCCGGATCTCGGGCCCCAGACCCCGGCGCCCGGCCCCGGGCCCCGAGCCCCCGGCCCTCCCGCCGCGCGCCGCTACCTCCGGCCATGGCGCCGCCGCTTGCGCTTCCCGCCTCTGCCACCGCGCGCCCCACGCAGAGCACGCAGTGCGCGCCTAGCAACGGCCACCTGGCAACGACGCCACTTCCGCCGTCACGGCGGCAGGGCACGTGATCGCGCTTCAGGGTCGGGGCCTGACACGTGACCGCACGACGGGGCGGGGCCTGGTGAGTGACCGCGCTGGGGGTCTGGAACCCCACCTCACCAGCTGTTTCTCGGGGCGCCCCAAAACCTTGCCCGACCACTTACTCTTCTCTGCTGTCGTGCCCTGGGGCATAAGGAGCCTCTGCCCCCAGGCCTCTGCGGCCACTCTCAAGCTGGGACCCCCTGGGGGTACTCTAGCGCCACCAGCTGTGGGATCCGAGAAGGTTCCTGACTCCCTCTGGGAGGCATCTTTGTATAGGGAATGAGACGCAGCCCAGAAATTGTGAGCTGCACTTAGCAGGAGCTGTCCCCATCTACCCTGTTGCTACCTAGCTCTCTGGAGGCACGTGTGTCAGACGCAGGCAAAGTCACCTGGCCCCACAGGTAAAGCAATGTTCTACAGGACCCCGAGGGCTCCCCACCAGACCTGGAGGATTCAGACACAGCACCAGGCGTCCTGAGACCTGACCGCAATTCTGGGTGGCTGAGGCGCCATCTCAGGGCCAGTTATGTAACATTTCTGGGTCTTGAGGCCGGGTTCAGACACCTGCCAATGACTACGGGGGGTGGGGGGGGGGCGGGGCATTTATAGACTTCTATGCAAAATGACCTGGCCCAGGACACAGGAAGGCAGCTGGGCAAGAGGCTGGGGGGGACCAAATTTAGACAGATTCAGCTGTGAGGAGATGAGGCTACAATGGAAGGTTGGGCTGGGCCTGGTGCTGGGACACAAGCGCCCCCTCCCGCATCCACCGTCCACCACCCCCAAGTAAAGGCCTTTCCAAAGGGCAGTTTCTCAACTTTATTAGCCTGGAGCTCCTCCCTGCCAGCCCCACAGGCTGGTCCCCGGGCACAGTGAGCAGGACTGAGGTCAGACAGTTTCAACCCCTGGCCTCTGGCAGCCTGGAACAGCTGGGCCAAGGGGTCAGCAGGAGCAAAAGTCCAAATTCTGGCACTTCAGGTGTGGCCGGCTCCTGGCCAGGCCCAGGGTGAAGCACGGCCCACCGCAGTGGGTGGACAGAGCGCCGTGGTCCTCTCCTGGCAGAGGGTCCAGCGTGGGGCAGGGCCAGGCCCTGCATGGGCAGCATTCCTTCCAAAGCTGCGACTAGGAGCAGTTGGTGATCCTGGCCAGGAACTGCTGTGCCCACCACTCGTCCAGGTCGATGGGTACGAAGTCTGCAGGGGAGCAGAAGGCTGGGCAATGATGTGCCTCCGAGGCTGACCAGCGTCTCCCACCTCGAGCTGACCACAAGCCCCTCACCCAGACCCCAACAGTAGCAGACGCTGGGAAGAATTGGGTCAGGCTCCAGTCCTCTTCCCAACCCCCTGGGGCTAGAACCTGGCTGAGCCAGATCAGGGTTGGAGGAGGTGGAGGGGACACCCTGAGGGCGGGGGAGGGCTCACTCTGCAGCCGGGGGTTGGGGGTCCTCTCCACGTATTGCACTGGCCTCGGCCCGCTCTCACCGGCTGGGCCACCACCCAGCTGCTGCTCCACTTGCTGCCAGGCTGTGGGGAGAGGATGGTCAGGTCAAGCCAGGCCCCTGGCACCATGTCTCCCACCCCAGGGCATGGTGGCTACCCTGGACCCCAGCCCAGAACTGGGAGTGGGCAGCCTGCTGGATGGTCACAGGAGAAACAGGCAGAGAACCCAGGAAGAGCCCAGGCCTCTGGCAACTTCGAGTGAGGTTACAGGGGGAAAAGGACCAATGGCCCAGGTCACACCCTCGGGCCTCAGCACTACCTTCGGACACAAATCGGACGTTCTCCTCGTGAGCCAGTGTGTAGGTCTCCTGGGTTCCCTTGAGGGACGGGGATGTGGCAGGTGGCCGCCGGCCATTCACCCGATTGAACACGAGCCTCGGCCCTGGACTGCAGGAAGGGGGAAGAGATGGTCAGCAACTGTTCCAAGCCCAGGTGTTACCTGGCAGAGCTCCTGGAGCAGCCTCAGGCCACCCTCACCACCCGGGGCCAAGCCCAGCCTGGGCACTTCCCTGAACCACAGGAAGGCTGTTTGCTGCAGCCAGTGGCCAAGGCCTTTGTCGTGCAGGCCTGCGCCCCCAGCAGCTCAGTTCACAACTGCGGCCCCGCCACCCTGAGCCAGGCCTAAGACTGCGGGGGTGGAGTGGGGCCTCTCTGTGTCCCCAGATCCCTTGCAGAGCTCCATGCTCAAGGCACATAGGTGGCCCTCCAAGGGTCTCAGGCACCCCCACTACCACCAACCATCCACCTCCCCTGGACCAGCCAGGCCTCCATCAGCCCAGGTTTTGACCTGCGTAAAGGTCACTTGGCCCAACCCCACCCACCAGGCGCAGTTCTTGGCCACTTTCTCCCCCACAGAAGTCTCTCCATCTCATGATGCCCCCCAGTGTGGGATGAAGGACCCAAACAAGAGCTGACAGCCTTTGCCCTTCCCTCTCCCAGCTGCCCCAGGTCCCCAGGGACAGCTCCTGGTCTGGCTAGACAGCATCAAGTGCTGAGTGGGCCATCCTGAGTAGGGAGGGTGTGACTGCAACCCTGGCCCACCCCTGCAGGCCCCAGACGAGGGGCTATGCTCTTGCCCACGGGGGCAGGA